CAACCCACTTCCAAAGGGTATGAGAAAAAGGAACAACACCATTCTATATTTTCAATGTACCAAACTATCTAAAATGTAATTTCTTTATTTTTGTTCTTAAAGAGCTTTATGATCATTGTGCAGGTAAGAGTGGAAAGCCTGACTCAGGGCCACGTCCTGAAGTTTCTTCAGGAGATTATAGAATGCCCTCATGCTCCTCTGGAAGGAGTGCCGAATCCCCCATCACACCTATCCGAAAAGGAATTTTGTCTAGTGAGTATCAATGGATAGAGGGCTCAATTTATCATCTGATGTGCAATAATTCATTTTTAAAAAATCATATAGATATGGGAGATCAATTGTCTGGCTCAGCGGTAGCACTATATCATCTCTTACAGTTGTATGAGGATAATGCACACATAAAGAGTATGTTACAGAAGGTCCTCGTTAATCAGAGGCTAATCTGTCATTTGTCGTGCCAGATGATGAACAAACAGAAACTGACTGTGATACTCTCCCTGTTAAAGATTTCCATTCAAAGTCAGAGGAGAAATTTGAAGAGTATCTCTCCATTTAACCACAAAAATGTACAGCTGTAACTGTTTTCAAATTTTTAATTATTTCCTTATTATTTATTTTTATATCACTACACAATCCTTTTTTTCAACAGGTGAAGTATATTGTTAACTTACACCGTGATAATTGGGGTTAAGAAAAGTATGCCCGGAAAATTCTCCGACACTTCATTTCTAATGATCTTTCAAAGATAATTAGTTGGGAGGGAACTGAAACCCTCAAAATCCCCTTTAACAAATAAACTATTCGATGTTTGTTGTCAGTCGTCAGTCAAGAAACTGATTGTGTGTTTTAATACTACACTCTTACTAATTAGAGTTGAACTATCATTATAGTGGTTACAGTGTATTGAGCAAGTCAGATCTTCTAAAGGAGAAGCTGCGCACAGAAGATGGTTCTACACAAGCAACCAGCGTTAGTCTGGTTTAATTTCCTTGTTTGTGTTTTTAATACGTTTTCATATCTGTACAGTTATTATGTTTTTCCTCCCAATTAGTTTGTGATCAGCTAGCCTGTGATATTACAGAATATTGTGATTATTTATTTTATTGCCCAGTAAATATTTCGTTGTTATAATTTATTCATATGGATTCGTGGCTCTTCTAACAGTAGGCCTATTCAGTAAGTCAGATCAGATCTTTCTGTTGTGTATGCAATATTGGCACACCTGCACTTGTCATTTGTCGTCATTTGTTATTGTCTATAAAAGAACAACCTGTCGTGCCAATAAACCAGTCTTCAGTGGAAATCCAGAGTGTCCTCACTTGTTACCCTCACACCCTCTGCCTAACAGAACTTGCATCAGATCGGAACACGACACTTTCGAATGCAGAAGGTGGGATCAGAAGATAGTTCTACTCTGGTATCCTGGGTTCTTCAAAGTCTGCTTACATTTTCTTTTTTTGTATTTTGTATATTTTATTTCACATTTGTACAGGTATTCTATTTTGTTCTCCTAGAATATACCGATTATATTGTGATAAGCTAGCACCTGCAATATTACAGAGAATATTTTTTACTGTGTGACTAAGTTATGATTTTGTTAACTTATATTATGTTACCAGAGAAACTAATACATTTATATGAATGAATCTGGTCTTCTTCCTTTAACTGCCTTATCCGTACCTCTTAGATACTAGGAAAGAAGGGAGAAGTGAACCACTGATAAAGTAGTAAAACCTGGCTTTATTCTAAGGTTTGTCATTTTGATGTCATTGAGATCAAATAATGAAATAGAATTTGACTTGAATTTGACATCATTTGATGTCAAAATGACTTTTTCTGTCCCCTAGGAGGAGGCGTCCAATCGTAATATGTCAGAGGAAGAACCCCCCCCCCCCCTCTAAACAGCACATTCTGAATCGGGAATCGGGGACTGCACGCAGAAGGGCAGGCCTAGCTTGTTAAAGAATGAAACAAATTCAACCGGGTTATCCTATATTTCTGTTAAAAACTGATGTGTTCAACTGGCGTGCATATCGAGGGGGAAAACACTTGGGTTATTAGCGTACGGCCTGTTTCGTGATATTTCTCCTGCCATTTCGGCTATATCTCGCCAATTTCGGATTATTTCAGGGTATTTCGCGGTATTGCGAGAGTATTTCACGACTATTTCGCCTTTATTCTGGACTTTTTCGGGGGAAAGGTGTACGAACTATTTCGCAAGTGTTTTCCCCTTCAGTGCACATGCAAGTGATTGCTTAACAATATGTAGCACACTTTTAACA